TATCAAGACGCTATTGTCGTGAATCAAGTCATTTTTAAGCTGTAGTTCGGCTAAGCTAACCAGTTAGCTCTTGTATGAAGGGAGTTTGACGGGCTGTAATGATTCGCGACACCAGTAAAAGTATACCACAAAATGTTAACATTATCCTACTACCAAGCCACCCAACAAAGCTCCTTGGTTGCAGTTTATACTGTTTAATATCTGGTTTACACTGTAGCGTTATGGCAGAAAGACGCATCATGCTCACCCTTCCTCGGCCATTGTAAATTTGCGATGGATGGCGGACTTAAAGTTCTGTAATAAAGAGCAGATATGAGAGGAGAGTCATTATCCATTTCAAACAGCTCACTGTGAAGACTTTTTAAACCAAGATGTTTGATTAATCCCGCAGATTGTGCCGGTGATTGAAGAAACGCACCCTTTCCTCCTCGGGCAGCGGGTAAAGAGGACGTCACAAGCGTGCGACGCTGTATTAATACCACCAGGCCCCAGTGGTGTCCGATGTGTTGCCTGAAACTGTTTCCACTGTTTCCACGTTTATCATCTCTACTGGAGACAGTTTTCCCATTTGCTATTAGGAAAAAAGCTTTTTGTGGCCTTCATTAATTTTATCATAAAGCCAAACAAGCACATTTTTGTATTCATACATAAATAGCCTAATATATGGAAACCTAAAGTGTTCAATATAGTACACATAAATAATACATAATGAATTGAATATGAATAAATATAGGAAAATACCTTGTGTAACCATGAAAGTGAAAAAATATTTTTGCTTTATGATGCTTTTTCTAATTCAAAAAATTTGTTCATTTTTCTTCTTGTCACAACAACACAAGTAAATGTAGGTTAAAGGAGCTAAATAATACTCAGTATTAACTTTTCTCTGTAGTACCTGTAGTTTGTGTAGTATAAAGTAGTAGATAGTAGTAGGCTTTTTAAAGTACTAAATAATTACTTAATATTGTGCTGTCACAGTATGTGAAGTGAAAGCCTACTAGCAAGCACCAGGACAACAGGTTAGGATAAGTGTCTGTTTCTGCGTAGTTCTGCAATGTTACTCAAATTATTCTGTTTGACATTTTATTCTATAGTGTTCCTACAGTTGCTCTGTCATTATTTCATTCATTATAGTGACAACTATGGTTAGACCATGAGTGTTGCTGGGTGTAGGTTTGGTGAAACTCTTTCAGATCTAAGCGTAAAGCTGATGCATTGCAGCACTGATGTTTTTCACTGATGAGCTATTGAAGCTTCCTGTTAAGCTTAAATCACTGAAGTCATTGTATCTTAGTCATTATGTTCACATTTCCATGTGTGTTTGTTTGTCAGCAGGATTACGCAAAAAGCACTGAACCGATTCGTACCGACCTTGATGGAGGGATGGTGCATGAGCCACGGAAGAACCCATTCAATTTTGGGGCAGATCCAGATCATTTACTGTGAATTAGATTTTTTTTCTCTTAAGTCTAGTATGTTGTTTGACATTGGCCTTGGCAGAGGACTGCGCTCTATGAGTACCCTTAGTTGTTAAAGTTTCTTTGACTTTCTCACTGATAAACCTGTACATAGACACCACTTTGAACCAGGCTTTCTCAAGAAATGAGAAGAAACTCATGTCGCTGAGTGCGAGAGGCAGGTTTCAAACAATGTTTCAACAATCAAACAGTTTTTTATTTAAGATTTTTTTTATTTTCATCCTACAAATTGTTCAGATGTGCAACTCTAAAATTTCTCTTTTTTTCTGAAAAGAGGGCTGGAAAAGCACTTACACCTCGGTCAAATTTACATTTCCTTAAGTTTTTGGCATTAGTCGTCAAATACAAATAAGGCACCTGTCTTCATCAAATAAAACAAAAGGAAACAGAAAATATTAATTTACATATATCTTTATACTACTATTTATCTGTTGTTTGTTTAACTAGATATGTAGATATTGCAGTAAACATGGTGATGTGGTTGAGTGCTGCGTAGCTGGTCACCATTCCTTTTAGAGTTTAAGAAACTCCTCTAATTGTTCCATCTCGATTGCATTTTCAAACGCAGTGATGTCCTGAAAGACAGAAAAGATAGGTGGGTGGGGGTCAGGGATTTGTGGGTGAGAGTGGAAGGAATGCAGAGAGACAGAGCGATAAAGAAACAGTTATCATCCAGATATTTTCTGATATGTTATAGAGAGTTTCTGCTGTACATGTTATACAATCTTCTAACAGCTTGTGCACAATATTTTGAGGCTCATAATGGCCAGGCGGAGTTGATATTAAGAAAGTTGGTGTTGTGTAAGAATTTGGATGCAAATACTATAACAATGACTGTGAAAATAAAATAAAGAGTTGACAGCCAATATACCAGCTTTTTCTAGCAGTACTTAAGGTGTCAATATGCTCCAAAACCACCTACCCCCTTCACTTTCCGATATCAGAATGCAGGGGATGTACCCAACACTGTTATTTTCATGCTTATTGCGTGAGAGTTATTATCACATTATCACATCACATTATTATTATCATCACATCTTGCAACTCTCCATGACGGCAGGCTTTTCACTCGCCTCCATGTTTGGCCATTTGGAGCAGCAATTAAAAACTTCAGGTGTAGTGGGACTGAAATATACTGTACTAACTAGTTTGCCTAACCCTGTGTTTAGGCACAGCAGTGCCTTGAGCGTATGACATCATCATGCTCACAATGACATGTTTAGCAGGTAGGCCCAATGTGTGGTGTTATAGTGTTTGATATGCTTGCTTTTGCTAATACAGCTGAAGTTGGCGGGAATGTTCCCAAGTACTGTGTTGGACAAATTGAAAGTTTGACCTGAAAAGTTATTATAATTCATCATTTGGAAACATTGATGAATGTCTGTACCAAATGTTGGTCTAGTCCATCCAGTCACCAAGATATTTCTGTTTCAACAAGAAAAGTCAACCTCCAGGTGGAGCTACAGGAAAAGTCAGGGGCTCACCAAAGTCTTAAAGTCTGGGTTTAACCTTTGTGGACAATACATGACTGTACAAAATCAAGTCCATCTGTCCAGCAGTTGTTGTGACATTTCAGCGTGGATGAAGATGCGAGCTAGCACGGCTAAAATTAAAGTTTATGGGGGCATAAAACACAAGTCCATGAAAATATGTGCCTCTTTAGAGGTCTTTTGCAACAGTAAGGATCAAAGGCGACCTCCTTAAGCCAGAGCAACTTTTCTGTTGCAGCAAAGTCTGAACGGTATGCTGACATGAATTTCAAAACGCTCCAGGAGCAATCTACTGTGTGTGTGTGTGTGTGTGTGTGTGTGTGTGTGTGTTGGGGGAGTGATTAGGGTGTGTACTAGCATGCCTGTGTGTGTAAAAACAAGAGAACTGAGAACACTTATGCATGCATTGCTGACGTCCGCGGGTGTGTGTGTGTGTCTGTGTGTGCAAGCCTATAATATAGTGTAAATATTTATTTAATCCCTGCGTCAACGCCCTAGACTCCCATAGTTTTTTTTTGTTTTTTTTTTACAAATACAGCAAGTATGTAAATGATTTACACTGAAGTATAACTCCATTAGTTCTGAGAAGGTGGTACATGGTCAAAACATCTTATCATCACTTTTACAGGTTATTGTGAAAAACTTACTCCACAGTAGATATCTCCGTTGCATAATTGAGGTGGCAGAGCCTTCGGGTTCCCTGCCCTCTTCCTCATTAAATCCTTGTCTTCAGGATTCTGAGAAATGTCCACAGCTTCAAAAGGGATCTTCTTCGATTCCAGGACAAAGAAGATTCTGTCCTGATTTTTTTTCAGCTGCAGGAGACAATGTTTCAATCAGTATTAAATTCACGTATATCCCTTACAGGCTACACTTAAACCATGTTCTGTGTTACACTAAAATTTGCTTAACTGTCCACAACGAGCAGCTTCTGTTTGTATACAGAAATAAAATGTAAACACTGTACAAACAGTTCTACAAAGAATATGCTGCACTGAATTCAACATGCCTCATGGTATTTTGTTTGATATCACCAATATGTATTAACAATATGGCAAAAAGTAAAAGAATTAAGCAAGTAAGAAAACATACTGTACCTCCAGAGAACCGCTCACGCTGGAAAAAAACAAAGTGAGTGGCATATCTGCTATTTGAACAGAAACACCTCAATCTAGACTCACATAAACAGGTTTATAGAGAGATACAGATTGACAGAGGTACAGATAGAAGTGGAGAGACAGAGAATGTTCCAGTTTCCTAGATGCAGGTATTTGCTGCTGGTTTGCTGCAACAGCAGACAAGGTAAGCAGGTTTGGACACGGCTTACCTGCCTGCATAGGCACACCCACTTGTCTGAGTGCCATACCAGTTGCAGCCTGTCTGCAACTGTTGTGAAAGCACTAACACTCACACTCACATACTACTACCACTGGTGGGAAGCAAATAATTACATTCACTCAACACTTCAACGTTTACAAGTGCTTGACTTAAGTATTTCCAGTCAGTACGTCGTTCCAGCACATTTCAGAGTAAAATATTGTATCTTGTACTCTACTACACAGACCTTCTTCATGGAAGACCTTTTGTCACATGAGGAAAAGCACAGCTGTAAATAATAAAATCTTTCACACTGGCTCACTGTAACACTGTCATGGCTGACTGGGACACTTCAACCATTGTTAACGTTATTAGTAATAACTGTTGTAACAGTTAAGTTACTTTGCAGATTAAGGTTTTAAAAATTATAATGGACATATTAATTATAATATTTTGTTTAGTCATACATTGAAATTCTCGAAATATATGTAAAATTGTTCAAATCAGTTACGATCTACCCAACCACAACATTCAAATGTTGCTTACAAATTAATCCATCAGTAACAACAATAAGATCTTGCATACTAGGATTTTGATAAATTATTATTCATTGATGTATTTGATGGAACAGCCCGTCTCTTGTGTGCAGTGTTGTTAAAGCACATTTGCTTCCTAATCAAGATGATTGAAAGCTTCGGCAAATGAAAAAGAGTAATTGTTGTAAGAAATACAAATTTATTGATCAGCACTCAAACACACCAAGAACAAAGCAAATTATCATGCAGTACAAAGACAATGTAAAAAGCAAAGCAAAGGTGTATTTCATGATCATTACATTTCAACAGGGCCGTGAACCTTAGCCTTGTGATCGGCAGAATTTCCCAGAAAAAAAAAATCACTACAGGAATAAGTATAAGTGTTACAGGGAAACTTTATCAAGACGGCATCATATATGCTATTTAAAATTACATTTTCAATTTCTGCAAAGTACATTTTTTTTATCTTTTTGAGGAAACATGAAGTTGGTAGATTTACTGAATTATTTGTTTACTTAAAAAGAACTGTAAAAACACAATCAACACAGGTCCCTAATGTTCCTATGGTCGACCTTAAAGAGCAATCACAACACCAGATGATGTTTTTTGCTGACTTCAACTTCCAAACTTGCTGCTGCAGTGTAGAGGTGAACCCCAGGGTGTATCAATACACCACCACATTACTGGTAGGTGTAGCTACAAGTGCAACAGAAATGAAACTTTTAACCAGAGAAACACTGCTTTTTAGCCCGGTGTTTGCGTTACTCTTTAACTTAAGTGAAACCACATGACACAGGTTATTCCTTGAGTCATTTTGTCATCACGAAACAACGAGTGGTTCAAGCTCATAACAGACTCTCCCAGCCAGGTCCTCAGGGACTCTCTCGACAGAGTTATCAAAATCAACATCCGCACTCTTGTCCTCTGGGCCGACACTCTGTCCAACATACTCATTCACACAGGTATTGCGGTCCCTGATGGAGATAAAGAAGACAACAATTGCAAACATGTATTATGTCTTTTATGTTGTTAGATCTGAAATATATATGATATATATGAATCTAAAAATATATGTTTTAGCACTGTTTTCCTACCTTCCATCGAGTGCTCCATTGCTTCTTTCTTCCCTGTCTTGTTTTATTGCTCCTCCAAACCGGCTACTAAACTGAACCATGGTACCTGAAAAGTGAGTATGACATCACCATGACATCATTCTTTTAAAATGAAATGATTTTTTTTGGCCACTTGAGGGCAGCATAACAAGCTGTGAACACAATACTGACATATCATCACCTTCCAAAATTGTTATGCATTAGCACCACCAATATGTTCAACTATGTTCACTTGCAAGTTGTTAACTTTGTCTGTCTGCCATTTGGTGCTTGGCAGGTAATGTTCAGCGGGGTTATTAAAGTTTCCTAGTTAAAAACAATTGCCTCTTGCAGCTGAAAAAAGTGAACCAAAACAGTAAAGTTGTGTGCTGTAAAACCAAAAAAATGTGCTGAAAGACACTAACAAGCGGCGTAGAGCTGAGTGGAGCCAATACAACATTGTTAATATCAATGTATTGATTGGTGCAGCTTTAAACAATCTAGACACATTGTGTGACATTAAAATAAAGGTTGCATGGCAGTAATTTTGATATATAAAAAGTATGTCTATCTGCCACTTACCCGCACCGCGCCACCTCCTTCTCCAGACCAGGTAGACTATAACCAGCACTAGTAGCAACACCACTAGACCACCCACAAGTCCTCCAACAACTGAAGATGATGAGGTTGCTGTAGGGATTAAAAGATCATTTAGCAGAGTTAGCGAAGGAGAAAACTAGCAATAATCACTGTGGAAATATATTCTTCTTCCTTGGGTCTTACCGACTACAGTAACTTGGAGTGACTTTGACGGAACAGAACTGAAGGACAACGAGGAGATGTTAACATTATAGACACAGGTATACTCTCCTTGGTTTTTAGGATCTACTGCAAGGATTTCAAAGTACGCCAGGTAGAATATAGAGTGTCCAAATGCTGGCTTAATTTCAGTGATGTTCATGGTAGACTCTCTCAGATGGAAGACCCCATCAGGATATCTGGAATGGGTAGAACAAGTGATGGAGAGAGTGCTGCCTTGGTTGACCGATATTTTGTCAGGGCTGTAGATCACCATTGCATGAGGAGAGGTCAGCGAGATGGTGGGCTTTTCCAGATTCACTGAAGGAGAGAGACACATTTTTACAAACTCATGTACATCACAAAACACGTTTGCAATCTCGCATAGTCAAATTTTCAATAATTATGTTCAAAAGGAAAGATAAATGACAAAATTATTGACCTATAACAGAGAGCTCTGCGATTTCTCCTTGAGGATAATAGATGACTTGATCGGGCAATTTCTTGTGATATTCACAAAAGTATGACCCCTTCAGGTTGAAGTCCACTGAAGGGAAGGCAAAGGTTACAGCTTCGTGTTCAGAGAATTTTTCCATTTTAAATGATTCATGGGTCTTTTTCAGGACGAATGTTCCTCCTGAGTGTTCTGTTACGATAGTGCAGGTGATTTCAACTCTGTCACCCCAGTTTACCTCTGAAGAAGGACTCAAAGAGATTTGGGGTTTCTGTAGAGCACCTGAAATGGTCGATAAATTGTAATTAATTTGTTGTGTCATAACAATCAACGCAGCTCCATTACCTCCAGTTGGTAGATTCAAAATGAGCCTTACCTAAACAGATAACACCTGCATCTTCACCGTGCCCACAGTTATTTTCTCCAAACCCGGGATGAGAACAGTGTGTGAGAGCAGCCTCTTGGCCTGAACACTCCACATTATCCAGCCATATTGGACCACTGCCTCGACCAAAGTGGGCACTTATAGGAGCAGAAATTGCGTGACCGCAGTCAAGTTGTCTACACACCACATCCGCATTGCTCATTTCCCATTCATCATCACACACAGTCCCCCACTGGCCTTTATAGTGAATCTCAACTCTACCGGAGCATTTATCTGCACCATTGACCAAACGAAGCTGTGCTGCAAACGAAAACAGAAATAAGTGAGTACAAATACAAAGGACAGCTCTTGAGACATGCATTTATATACAGTTCTGTAAGTGTATTCTGAGTTAAACCTATTTTTGAAATGCTAGGGCATTTTACACATTATCCCACCATTATATCAGAAGCTACTGTAAGTTCAAAGGCAAAACGGTAAAATGAGTGACATACGGAAAAACAGTGATGTAATATATCTTGTCTCAAGCAAATGAAAGCCATAAAGCAACAGAAAATACGCTAATTCCCTTTCTTGCCAAGAGTTAGATTTGAAGATTGATACTACTCTCAGTTCTGTATGATAAATGTTAACTGCAGACAGCTAGCTTAGCTTAGCATTAAGACTAAAAACTTGGAAAAAGCTACCCTGCTTTGACAGCAAAATCTACCTACCAGCATCACTATAGCTCAATAATATACATTTTATACCTGATTTATGATTCATTCAGGGCAGCTGTTTCCCTGTTTCCAGTCTTTATGCGAAGCTGGGCTAACCCTCTACTAGCTCCAGCTACATATTTACCTTACAGATGTGAGAGTGGAATCAAGCTTCTTATCTAAATCAATGAAACAATGCAAATTAGTGTATTTCCTAAAATGTTGCACTTAATTGAATAAAGTAAATAAAATATTTCCCAATTCACTGTTTTCACTTGGTATCTTTTAACACATACAAATACAAATAAACTGCTGATGATATTATAATATTTTCCCAACTCCATGTGATAATTTTGAACACATAATTTAGAGGGCTATACCTGCACAGAGAACACCAGCATCTCGTTCATGCCCACACCTCGCTGTTCTGAAACCTCTCACCGCGCATTGCTGAAGAGAGGTCACGTTGTCAAAACATGATTGGCTAGCCTCCACTACTGATCCACTGCCCTGTCCAAAAGTGGCACTGCCAGGAGCGTTCACAGCATGTCCACACTCCAGCAGCCCACACACTGTCTGAGCTTTACTCAGGTTCCAGTCTGCGTCACACACTGTTTGCCATATCGCACCATGACGGACCTCTACTCTGCCAGAGCACTCGTCCTTATCATTAACCAACCGGACCTCCAAACTTCCTGTGAAGTCAAGTAAACATAAGTGGTCATAAGGCAGTCAAAGATATCAGAGACAAAATTAATACGAGAAAAATATTCGATCTGACGTTTCTTTCATATGATGCATTAAAGGGATTATGAATTTAGTTCTGATGTCAGTGGGGACACTGAATGTCATACAGAGCACTGAAAAAACAATATGTGTTGCGCCTGAAAGGTCGTTATTGATCCTTGAAGAGTGATTGGGGTCATTTTTTATAAATGCTTTTTTCTTACCTGTGCAGACAACACCAGCAACTGAGGTGATGTTACAAATTTTGTCTCTAAATGGTCTTTGTGGGCATTGAGTCAGTGTAGACTCCAATCCATTGCATTCAATTTGATCGATCCAGGTCTGTCCTGTGCCGTGCCCATAATCAGCCATGGTGGTAATCTTGTGAGCCCTCCCGCAGTTGATCTGTCTGCACACCACTGTGGCATCATTCATATCCCAGGCATCGCCACACACATTCCCCCACTGGCCTTTGTCGTAAAACTCCACTCTTCCAACACAGCGATTGGGCCCACTGGCCAATCTCACATTGCCTGGAAGTGATAGTTGTTATATGTACATGCTGTCCAACTGCAGATATCTTTAAGTCTAGCTAAAATCAAAATTCATTTTTGCTACAAAAAAAAAAAGAATATATTTAGGCTTGGCGTTTGTTTTGACGTTGGTCCAAATTGCAATTGCCAAGTTTTGTTAATTTTTCTGTGATGAAAGCACCATCTACTTTTGTGTTCTCCACTGGGCATGTTTAGTATTTGCTGCCAATTGTCACTGTCAGTTCAGTAATTTGACTGGTACAATATATGTGAGGGCAGCCATTAAAATATATGTAGTAATAGAGCTCAATTTCCAACTGAAACATTGGCTGTAAACCAAAATATGTAGGTGCAGTATCATTATATGTTATGTCTTCCACAATAAGTGAGGAGAATTCAAGTTTCAGTTCAACTTCAAGTCTTACCTGTACATTCAACAGCTGCTTCTTCAACATGATTGCGGCTGGTTGCGACATATTCTCTCAGCGAGCACTGTGTGAGAGAGGTCTCTCTACCTGTGCAAATGACCTGATACCCTCTCAGATCATCGCCTTGACCAAATGACCCTGTGACCTTGACAGGATCTCCACAATTCATCTCTCTGCACACCACTGTGGCTTCATTCATTCCCCAGTTAAGATTAAATGCTGGTGACCAGTGGCCACCATGGTGAACCTCCACCCTGCCTGAGCACTGGTTAGTCCCATTGATCACTCTAATGGTAGCTAGAAAGCAAAGTAGAGAGAATCAGCAATTAGCTAGTTGGTGTTTGGACAAATTTGAAAAAGATGTTCATTCCAAATATATGTGATATTCTGATTGATATACTGTAGTGGAAATAAGTGGTGACATAGCAGTTTAATTCTTGACAATAATCAGTAAATTATTCATCTGAGGGAATTAGGGGTGACAGATAAATGTAAGCCTAAAAGCCACTGTTTCAAATGAAGTGAAAAAAGAAAAAAAAGTTCTAAACAGAGAACAGTGAACAACACAGCAGAGTAATAATCGATACCTGAACACACTACACCAGCATCTTCACCATGGCCACAGTTATTCTCTCCAAAGGAGGGATGTTGGCAGTGCACAAGGGACGACTCATTCCCAATACAGTTGACGTCATCCAGCCAGATGTCTCCTTGGCCTTGACCAAAGAAAGCACTCGCTTTGGCTGTCTGAGCTGATCCACAGTCCATGGCTCTGCACACCACTTCAGCATCCCTAAAGTCCCAGTCATCATCACATACTGTTCCCCACTGGCCGTTATGAAGAATCTCCACTCTGCCAGAGCATCGGTCAGTGCCATTGGCAAGCCTTATTGGTGGATTACCTGAGGACAGGTCCACATATTAAAATTCTTTACAACCTAAACTCACACATTAAATATTATGGTTTATAGTAAATGTCAGTTCAGTAGTTTATTAGTTAGGTAGGTAGTTAGTTAAGCAGTTTATTGTTCATAGTGTGTGCACAAACATAAGGAACATCAAGTAAAAAGACAGCTGTCGTTAAAAAGAAATATAAAAAATGAACAGATCATTACTAGATGCTGCTAGCCACGTAGCATCGCTACCACTAACTCTGACATCCAATCCTGTATATTTTCATTAATAGTATTATGTATGCAAGTATTATGCATTTGCAGCATTACAAAGACATTCAGAAACTCTTTTAAAAACTTGATTTTCATATGCCATAGACCTTCATTATTTTCCAAAAACTTTTTAAAAATCACAGTTGTAATGGTTCAAGTGTTCATTCATTAGCATAAACATGGGCACGGTTTATTTTGAGTCCATCCCACATTCATTGTCCTACATTGTCTTGTCACTAGCATCCCTGAAAGTAGTCCCAAACAACTGCACTATTTTCTGCTGTTTGATTAATGTTTACTGAAAACTACAGTACCTGCCTGCTTTTCAAAAATTAAAGTATATATTTGTGACATGCTTTCAAAGATTTAAGTCCTCAGTTGTAACCAATAGACTTGGGACTGAGTGCCACAGATTATTGAGAGATAGACCAGCGCTTTATTGATTTTGGTACATTGATGGGATTGCCTGACATTAACAATAATATAGAAATGCCAGTCTTTTCTATCTTATCTTTTGTGTCTTACCTGTGCATGAAATGGAAACACCAGTACATGTCCCTGTGTAATCTTGAAGTGCGCACTGGCTGATAGAGCTCACATTGCCAGAGCAACTACCTGTAAACCCTCTCAGTCCACTGTCACCAAAGTTGAACTTTTCTTGGTATTTTTTAGGAGTTCCGCAACTGAGTTCCTTACACACCACCGTAGCCTCTTTAAGGCCCCAGTTATTATTACAAATTTTCCCCCACCGGTCATTGTGGAAGACCTCCACTCTGCCAGAACATTGGTCAGTCCCATTGCTCAGCCTGAGTGTTGCTGGAAAGTAAGCAGTCAAAAAGAGGCATTGTAATTAAAATGTTGAAGAAAAATTATAATATTTCAACAATAACACACTCCCCCTTGCTTTTTAGGAAGATATGGTTTAAAGCAAAGATATTGTTCTGCTAAATCTGTGATATTACACCACAGAGTAACCACATAACACATAAAGTAGAACATGTGTTACCTGAGCATTCAACACCAGCATCCTCATTGTGGTCACAGTCATGTTCTCCAAAACCTCTGTGAGGACAGTCAGCAAGTGACTTCTCAAGACCAGTACACTCGATGTCGTCCAGCCAAACCTGTTCCTGGCCTCTGCCGTAGAAGGCCTTGTACTTGACTGCAAGGGCATTCCCACAGTTCATCTCTCGGCATGATACAGTTGCTTCCTGCATCCCCCATCTGTCATCACAAACTGTTCCCCACTGTCCGTCATGGTAGACTTCCACTCGACCCGAGCACCGATTAGTACCATTCATCAGACGAATTGGTTTACTGTCTGTTGGGTGAAAAGACAAAGTCAAGGGCATGTTTACTGAGAGGCCACTCAAACAAGCAAAGAGTCTAATCATGTAAATGTCACCTTGAAATTACTGACGTAGTAGGGGGACCACATGGATCACTTACTTGTACAGAAAATAGTAGCATCAAGACAGGTTTCCTTGAAATCTTGAAGTTCACATTTTGAAATAGAGGTCTCATTTCCAAGACAGGTGGTTTTGACTCCAAGCAGGTTATGTGCCTCTCCGAAATTTGGCGCTATAGTCTGAATGACAGGAGTGCCACAGCTAATTTCTCGGCACACCACGTCGGCTTCTTCCTTGCCCCAGTCACTGTTGCATGCCCGTTTCCAGTGGCCATCAAAATAGACTTCCACTCTGCCATTACACCGGTTGCTTCCATTGACCACCCTGACATGCTCTGCAAATAATGTGATCAGAAATGTAAATAAAATCAACAAATATTTTTAAAAAAGTGGTTTTCTTCAAGATCTTGAAAAATACAAAGTGACAAATAATACAGTGAAAAGGTGTGAAAATCTGCATAACGAAATATTGTTCAAAGTCACTGAACATTATTTTAAATTCTAGTGACAGCAACGGCAAATATAAAATCATGTGCAAAGCTTAGAATATTTGCGTTTGATGGAATGGTGAAGTCATGAAAATCAGAGTCTTGAGATTGAATGTTTCACTTTGTGTATATATATCATATAGCCTAGTTAACAAGAAAATTTGGAGCAAGCTAATACAGGCTACTTAAAGAAAAGTGTAGAATAGAATGAATTTAACAACCTTCAAGATACTTCAAGAGGCTCAAAAAGAAAATGGAGATAGTTTTGACATTTTGGGAAATACATTAATTTGCTTTCTGGCACAGAGTTTGATGAGAAGATTGATATCACTCTCATGTTTATCTGTTAAATATAAGGCTACAGCAGGCAGCCAGTTAGCTTATCTTAGCATAAATACTGGAAGGGAAAACAGCTAGCTTGGCTCTGGCCAGCAGACAATATCACCACTAGATCTAACAAATTGACATGTTTCCGTTTAATCTGTACAAAAATGTGTAAAAACAACAATTTACCATTATATAGGGGGTTATTAACTGGACTTTCTTCTGAGTAGTTGCTGGGCGGACATTGGAAACTGTAGGAAGGTAAGAGCCGCTATGCCATGCTACGCTACGCTCAGTTAGCATAAATGTGGAAACAGTTTGCCTGGCTCTAACAAAAAGCACCATGTTATTTATATAATCTGTACAAAAAAAACAGAAGTGCTTAGAAAGGTCAGCAGGCAGTATCTACATATTTACCATAGAGACATGAGAGTGTCATGTAATTCAGTAATTCTTCAGAACAACGACATGAGGGGCCAGCATGAATGCATGATGACGAATGGCCATCCGGCAGCTGCTATGTTTTTGTTTATACGCCACTTTACGTTTGCAGCGGATGGTCATGGGGCTAACCTTGCTCTTGTGCTTTTACTGCAACATCATTATCACGGCAACGAGCAATACGGTGGCCGACAAGGGCAATCGCGCTGCAAAGGCCCAAAACACTTCCAAAAGGAGAAAACAAGCTGCAAATTCATAAACGACGCAGATTCGAAAACACATACGAAAAAACAAAAGAAAACAGCGGGATCGTGCTGCGATTGCAAAAAACGTGCTGCAGGATGCCAAAACAAAGACATTTACAGCAAACACGCTACAACAACAACAACAAAAACACAAACCCGTAAAACAAATGCAAGAGAAAAAAAGCGCTGCATGTTCAAAAAACAAACGGAAGTGCTCCAGGCCTCTAGGGGGAGGGAACACCTTGACCATAAGATTGCGTTTGTCTTTGTTTTGGCCTCCTGCAGCACGTTTTTCCACTTGCAGCACGTTCTCGTTTATGTATTTGTTTTGTATTTTCGTATATGTTTTTGAATCTGCATTGTTTATGCGCGTTTGCCCTCGTCGGCCACTTTAGAGCAATCATCTTAAAGCAGACATCCATTTGTGAATTGTTGACAATGCAATTTCTTTCTCAAAGCAAGATACAATAATATGATTAGATACTAAGATAAGTGCTGCGTTAGCTGCATTTCACCACAGCTGTATTTCCCAATTTTCCCAGTTCCACATTTCATGGCAATTCCCAGATAGAAATAGGGGAAGGGGTTTTGTGATTTCATAAGCTATCTTCTGTGTGTGTAATTTTAAAAAAAAGACTGCGGGCAGGGGCAAAGCCTGACTGTCGGAATGTGACCTACTGGCACCTTTATAGCTCACCAATTAACACATTATATCTTGTTTGTTTAGTTTCTACAAAAACTAAATATATATATAATATAATAATAAAGTTATAAAACTACTCTCAACTTTTCACTTGAAAGCAAATCAGTGTATTTCCCCAAATATCCCAACTACTCCTTCAATAAAGGTACAAAGTGTGCTCTTTGACTAAGTGTTTCAGGTAAAAGTGGGTCAAGTGAAGCAAACCCTACTGAGAAAAGGACTCATTGGACTCATTCTTACCTGAACAGACAACCCCAGCGTCTTCACCATGGCCGCAGTTATTTTCCCCGAATGGTTTGTGTGGGCAGTTGAGGAGGGAAGTCTCAAGGCCGGTACACTGAACATCATCCAGCCAAATCTCGTCCTTTCCCTGCCCGAAGAAGGCACCTTTTTTGGCCTCAAGAACTGTCCCACAGTTTAACTCTCGACACACCACGTCAGCACTGGCAATGCTCCAGCGATCGTCACACACTGTTCCCCAGCTGTCTCTGTGGTAGACCTCCACTCTACCAGAGCAACGTGAAGGCCCAACCAGCCTAATTTTTTCACATTCTGGAAATTGAAAAATGAAAGCACAATGGCTGCAGACTGCCTCATCATGAACTCAATAACAAAAAGTCAGGGCGTTGAAATATAAATATCTAAATAATATGCATGATTTCTCAGGCATGAAACATAAAACTCACTGACCTGTAAGCAGCGGTAGACTCAGTAGACCTACAGCAGAAAAATATATAGTAAGATGTTCTAATTAAATCATGTCAGCCCTGACAATCATGATACACATATCAAGAAAGATTAACCAGTAACTACACAGTGCTGTAATCTGTCAAATTTATCATGATAAAACCCTTGAGATCTATCACTTCATTTTCAAGATGGTTCCAAAACATGTAACTCCCAGTGTTCCAGCATCTACCTTAACAGTCACATCGATCAAAAACATCAAAAAGAACTCCTATCAATAAAACATTAAATGTGGAAATCTATATCTTTTCATACAAATATTGAGATGCTAACTGGTTTTGAAGGTATGCAACCAAGTCAAATTGACAAAAAATAAACTCACCTATTGACAAATAAAGAACAAAATGTAGTTTTTCAGCAGAAATGAAGATCATATTTTGTCCTCAAAATGGGGTCAAATGCTGTCATGGCACAGTAAAAATGAAAAAAAAAGAGGTAGTGTTACTCTTTGTTAACAAACCTGCATTATTTCCTCATTGGTCTTTATCAGAGCAAAAAATAAAAAATAAAAGTTGATATTTGGAAACCATCAAGTTTCAAGAAACCTTACCTTTGAAATCAAACAAGTCTGGGCAACTATTAAATTGAACTCACAATTTAAAATAAATCATATTAGAAACATCCAAAGGATAGAAGTCCCATGTACAGCTCCAGTAATTGAATAAAAGTGACTGACTGGACTTGGACTGCAAACTGGATGCATGTTGACATTTTGATCAATCATTAAAGAGAGGATCAGAGGAGATTTCATTTTGTTTTACAAAATGTCTACTTTTCTGTTTGAAAAAGGCATCATATTCATCAGGAAAACACACCCACATTTAATATGATATACAATAGGAAGAGTGATTTAAGGATCAGCTGCAGAAAAATGAAGGGAAATCGTAGATCAAAAGGAGAGTTGTTATGAGCAAATGTCAAGAGGTGAACTTGACCATTGACCCCTCACGCTAAACCCCACTACCTGTCCCCACCCTTTTTACACTGCACATTAAAAATATAAATGCAGAATCCAGTCCACATTCAGTTCCATTATAAATATGAGCTTTACTTTGCAGTACACTGAAAATGATTTGACAGTGGCATTCTCTTGCATAATGATGTATTTGTAAAACAAATCTGAATTAGAATTTTATGTATATTATTCATTTAAATTTAATATGGTCAACCTGGTTAATATCTTTGTCATTTTTTTTTCACAATGTGATCCTTTGGCTTCAGAAGACCTGGAATATGCTGCAAAATAATCCAGGTCTTTATGGTCAGTTTTGTAAATCATTATGAATAAGATCCTATCCTATAGGTCAGATGTACCAAACTTCATTACCCAAACCACTGAAATATCATGTTTTACAAATTACTTTCTTACCTTACAAAATGTGTTGATTCCTCAACGGAATATCTAGAGTCGGAGATGACAGATCTCAATCCACCCAGGTCTGTTCTTTGATGAAAACTTGACTCGACAGAGCCAGTTCTTGTCCCATACCTTATTGTCTTAATGGGACTGGGGATGATAAACTAAACACTTCCCCTTACGAAACTCTGAGCAACAGTGTTTTTCTGTTCTATTCATTCAGTTCCTGTTATGGATCTTAAAATATTGCTCATCCTACACAGTCCTCCTGTTAAATGTACCATGGGAGCAAATACAAACTCTGACTCAATATATTTTTGCCTGTTGATCAATAAGCACTACCTTAGTCAAATAAATGAATACAATCAAATAAACTGCATACATGAGAAGTGAATTAAATCTGATTTCATCTGTTGGTCATCAGAACTGTTTTCTGTTTTGTTCATTTTTTTCACTGAGGGTAGTTGTTTTTTTAATAATTAATATTATAATTATGTTAATATGTTTTTTGTTCATTATAAATTCCTGGACATGTTGTTCTTATGTTTTTTGTTCATAAGAACATGCAGTACTGTCGAGGTTCCATGGAAGATGTAGCCTGCATGATGTTGCATAACTAACTTGTCTATTCAGCATTTTGAGTTGCCTGGTTTGGCCATCTGTTTGCACACATAATGAGTTTCCTAAATTAGCCTCCATGTACAGTTGCGTGTCTCCATCACACAAAATCACGCACGTGCTGATTTAACAAAATAACCACATCCTTAACTTCCCCTTAATGGTTAGAAAAAATCTCATAGAAAAGTGTCTTTACAGGTGACTTTATGTACAGCCATGGTGTTCATTGATGGGAATTTTGAGTTTCGTGATTGTTGGCTAAATACAGCTTTTTTTATGCCAGTAACTTTGACTTGTCAACAAAGGTGTTATTAATAACATGAATGATGGCTCTGTTCAGTTTAAGCATACTGTACGCCACGACAGTATGGCAGCATGATAAACACTTAAAGTTACACTCATGGTGCTACTTGGAACATTTTAAATTCAGTTTTTCGTTATCTTTCTGCTGTATGTTTATTTTCCACAGCTTGAACCACACAGTAGCTGCAGTGCTTTAAAATTAAGTTTGACAGAAATCTACTTTTGAAACAACCACCTGTCTCTTACAGACTGTAAAGCAGCAGCATCTATCAGTATTATACAGACAGACCTCGAAAATACCGAGGTCTGGAGAGGACAGCACGTTAAGCACATATTGATGTCTGGGTAAATCATTAGAGACACATACAGATATGCATCATTGATGGGAAAAGAACTCATCTGGGGCAAGGGGGCACTATGAGCGGCCCAACAAATAGGATGATCATGTCACAAACAAGATAATCATCTGACAAGTTGAAAGGCAAGCGTAAACAGAAATAGATCAAACATTCCGCACGCTGCTAACAACTTTTTTTTGTTGTCGTCATTTTTTCATTTGGCAACTGTGATTGCATTACCAACATCGCCACAGCTGGCTCAGGAACAGCAGGTTCTTGCTGAAACTAACAGGTGGGAGTGACAAACATCAAACGCTCTTGCGTTACACAGAATTTAACATGAAATGTGAGTTCAGCTTCTTAGATAGAGAAGTTGTGGAAGTGGATAAAAAAAAAAAAAAAAGCTTTAACACTGATGATCTATTTAGGATAGTCACCAGCAGAAACAGTGGAATATTAAATATATACTTTGAACGTCACAAATGATATAATTAAATATAAGATTTCTGCCATTCCTCACCTGTCCACTGCAGAGCCACTCCAGCCTATTAACTTTTTGCTCAAGATTGGTTCGTCTTTGTTGCCTTATGCTGTATACTTGTTTGTGTCCCTCTTCTAGTAACCCACTGCACTAACCCACTTTTTTCTTTTCTTTTTTTTTTTTACCTCTGTCTGCTTTACTGAGATGATTGGTTTGCCTTATTTAACTGCCTTTGTGTTGCCTACTGTACATCTGAGTTTGTATTTGAGTCCAACCTCTTTATCCAGTTTTTGCAGCCACTGCACCTTAATCAAAGAGACGGTGAGTGTATTCAGACCCTGTGTGCATGCTAGGCCTTCATGACACCACATAAGAACACAGAGCTTTTGAACATGTGTTTCCCCAACTTTGCCTTCAGTTGGCAGTCTGGGTTTTCTGCATGGCAAAGAATAATATGACTTTCCCACCACCACTTTAAAGGGACTCTGGATTGATCCCCTCATAAAAAGCTTTTACATTTTCAGCTGTTTATACTGACTGATCTCAAATATGCAAACAGTATGCATTGCTTTTGGAACAGTATTACTTGAACAATAACATGCACATAAAAAAATACTGAGGCAAATAAACTTTTTATATTGTAATCTGCTTTATTGTGCAAAATAAGCCATACAGAAATGTGTCACTGAGTACAATTCTCTTGAGCCTGTTACAAACAGAGAAAAAATGACCCAACTAACCGCAACATAGTCACAAGCAGAGAGGTGTAACATGGTACATTTAGTCAGGTTGTGGTTCAACAAACTTGTTAGTATCCATTCACAAGACAGACATTACATGATTTTACAATAAATGATACAAGTCAGCGAAATAGGAATGTTGTCAGTGTCAGTGGTAACAATGTGATGTCCTGTGTGTATCCTCTCACCAGATGGCACGACACTCAGGGAAAATGGCTAGTGAGAGTGTATCTGTTTGTGTGTGCCATTCATGTGTAAACATAAAGGAGTCAGTTAACCACCCAACCATGATGATTTAATAGGAGAGACATAAAGAGAAAACACAAAGTGTCAGCATTAAGGAGAGACACAGAATACAGATTTGAGGCCTGGACTAAGGGGCTGCCCACGATATCTCAATCTATGTTCATTTCATAATGTGTAAAACACACACAGGGCTGTTTGCTTATACTTCAGCAGCTGTTCACTAAGACATTTAGTGGAGGGAAGTGGAGGCACAACAGGAAAAGCTGAAGTTGGGAACTTTGCCACTTCATTATCTCAAAGCAATAATTTCTTAGATACATATCTCTTACATCTTCTTGGAGTAATCTGCAAAGTGTATTCCTGTAGTCTACTACTTATGTAGCTGTCTTGATTAGAGGATAAAGCTGGTGATATCTATATTTTTTATGTTGTCAACAAATCTCACAAAGAGACCAAACAAGAACTGTCTGAGTTGCCATAGCCTGATACATCTTATTCCTCTGTGCCATAGAGCTCCATTGTTGTCCAAAAACTATTAAAACACACCAGTGAGCCACACTGTTGCACTGGGTGACATGTTCCTTCATTATAAATAAACCTGGGCACTGTCAGTTTATTTTGAGTCAATCCCACATTACACCGTTCTGTTGCCATAAATACTCAGTACTAAAGCTCCAAAGCACCAAATGTGTTTTAATCCGTGGCTTAAAATAGTCCCAGAAAATGTGCTATTTACTCTTGTTTGAGTAATGTTTTCTAAAAACTACAGTGACCAGTAGATTCAGGAAAAGACTGGCACCTTTTTTTAAAAAAAATTATTTTTGAAACCGGTTTTTAAAGATTTACATCTTCAGTTTGAACAAGTGGGCTTGGGAGGAGATAACACATTGTTGTTTTGGTCTTTTCCCATGATTTGCAGATAATGATAAAAACATAGGACTGTATTAATGCCAACCACCTACTTCAATCAAACTGATAGTGGAATGATACAAGAACAAAGTATGTTTCATCTGATGATAGTGACTATGAACTAAACAAGAATGCTGGCAATGATATTACGCAGAATTACAGATATGTTTTGAGATTCTTAGCATTTGGTCTCATCTGCTTTGAGTTAAGCTGCAGTGTCATCTCTGGGAAAGCATCCTCACTCCCACGTATGTACACACCAACCTGTGCATGCGCGCGCGCGCACACACACACACACACACACACACACATCCAGACATAATGGCTAGGCCTCAGGTTGCATTAAGTGTGTCCTCTCAGCTCCCTTTCACTTAACACAGCCTTCATTAACAGCTGCTGATTGAGACAGACACACACACACACACACACACACACAC